GGGCATAAAGGACAGACACAAAGTACACTTGGCTGACATTGAAGACCCATGCATATTAGTGTTGGACTACTTACTACCGAGGAAGTGTGTAATTAACTCTGACAAAATGACGTTTGGGAACAACAAAGGCCAAATTCCGGTAAGTGTTGCTGCATCTGTTGATTTGCATTTCACAACACTTAAGTCAACTACAATACCCCTATGTCAGAGAAGATTATTTGGGATGGAATAAAAGGACATCCCCAAGGAAGCCCGATGCTTGTTGAAGCAGTGGAAGACCCATCCAGGCCAGCAGATGTGAAGATTGGAAGGTCACTTGTGGCAGTTCATCAAGTAGTAACCATAACAGTGGCTAAGTTCTCTAAATGTGAGCAGACAATTAAGGAAGGGGCATTGTTGGGTGTGTGCCAGGAGGTAGAGCTAGTCAATGTTAAGGCAAGAAATACAACCATAAAGAAAGGACGTCCTCTCCCAGAACATTTAACTGACCTCTATAAGAAGAGCATAGTCCATTTGTCATCATCACAGGCTCTTCAAGTAAGGGAACTTTTGGCGAATTATGCAGACGTATTTGCAATAGGAGATCATAATATTGGCTGCACAGACCTTGTGGAGCACAGAATAAACACAAGCAATCACCATCCAATAAAGATCCCTCTAAGGAGAATATCTCAGGCAAAGCGACAAGAGATGGAGAAGGTCATGGATGGCCTAATTAAAGAAGGGATGGTCGAGAAATCAGATAGTCCCTGATAAGCTCCCGTCGTGTTAGTCCAGAAAGAGGATATGCCCCACTGTTGCTGTGTGGACTTCAGGGCTCTTAACAGTATAACCGAAAAGGACTCATACCCACTGCTAAGAATTGATGATACTCTTGATGCCCTAAGTGGATCTGGGTGGTTTTCAACCTTGGACTTCAAGTCGGGTTTCCATCAAATGAAAATGGGTGAAGCAGGTAAACCTAAGATTGCATTTAGTTATGGCCAAGGTCTCTGGCAATACCGTGTGATGCCATTCGGGCTTAGCAATGCTCCAGCAACATTTGAGAGGCTAATGGAAAGAGTACTGGAAGGCCTACAATGGAGGGTATCCCTAGTGTACCTGGATGATGTCATTGTGTTTGCAGCAACATTGGATGAGGAAGTATCCCGGCTAGAAGAAGTATTCAAGCGTTTGAAAGCAGCAAACCTCAAACTCCATCCCAAGAAATGCCACTTGTTCCCAAAAGAAGTGCTTTCCTTGGGTCCAATGTAAGTGAGCATGGGGTGTGATCTGCTCCTGACAAGGTGAAAACAGTGCGTGATTGGCCAACACCAGACTATGTGGGAGAGTTAAGAAGTTTCTTTGGACTCTGTACCTATTACCAGAAGTTTGTGAAGTTCTTTGCAACTATAGCCAATCCACTATATGATTTGACCAAAAAAGGCCAGAAGTTTGAATGGACAGTTTCCTGCCAGCATAATTTCAAGACATTGAAAGAAAAATTCGCCTCAGCTCCACTTTTAAAGCTTCCAAATCCCTTCACTGCCATACATACTGGATTGTGATGCTAGTAATTTTGGAATTGGAAGTGTGTTGTCTCAGAAAGTGGGTGAAAACGAACATGTGGTAGCCTACTGCAGTAGGGTCCTGAGTAGACCAAAAGGAACTACTGTGTAATATGGAGGGAACTCCTTGCTATAGTAAAGAGTCTGACATATTTCCATCCTTACCTTTATGGAGCCAGGTTTACCTTCAAGACAAACCATGCTGCATTACGCTGGTTAAGATCATTAAAGAACCCAGAGGGACAACTGGCACGTTGGATCGGAAAGATAGACGAGTATAATTATAATATTGAATATAGAGAAGAAAAATCCCATGGTAATGCTGATGGACT